TTCCGGAAAAAACGGATTTTGGCCGGGGAAAATAAGGATTTTTTCAACAAAAAGTGACGCTTCGATTTTCCTGATATGATTTCTAATGGATGGGGGAAACTTGGGACTTTTATCTGACAAAGTATCGAAGTGGCGTCTCGTGTGGAAGTATGAAAGCGAAGCTTCCGAAAACTAGTTTTCTCTTTTTTGAAGCCTTGGAAACGGCCAAATAGGTCGATATTGGTATCAAATGAAAGCTCTCGACGAGAGCTTTCGATCGCGCTATCGCACGACTCTGTAGCTATAGCCGTTCTCGAGATAGAAGGGGTTGAAGAAAAAACTTCTCCGGGCATTTATTCCGTCCAGGAGTACTAATCAGATCCGGGACCATGCGGAAAATATTCCTCTCAAAATTACCTTTCGATTGAGACCCCACTCGATAAGATCGGTTTCCTAAGTCTGAATTTGCCCAGACCCTTTCGTTTCGGACCCGGTTCAAGCTTCGAGAACTCCATCCGATCACCAGAGAATCAACGGAGCGAGACCTCATGTTGAAGGCAGAGGTTTTAAGCTAGGTTGCGGGTTCCGATCAGACCTTTGGAGGTCCTGATGTTGCATAAGCTGAGAGCATCACCATTCCAGAGATAGATTGATGACGGGAGAAGGAGAGGAAACGACCAGTGATCCTTTTACAGTCTATAAGCTCAGTTTATCGTCACCTGGATCACAATTCACACAGGTCGGACGTGACACTCGACTGCGGGTGAATAGCCATACGATGATGTTCGCAATCGAGTTCGGGGAACATCATCATCAACTCGATCCTCTCTCTCGACCGAAATTATTTTTCGGACCCGGGGAGGGCTGGGCGCAGATCCGTACAAGGCCGTTCGTCTCGCAGGAGAGAGGAGATACTTTACAGCGTCAATTATTGAAGGAACTAATAGGGAATACGGAATTCAGGATTAAACCCCCAGAACCGGTCGATGATAGGATCTAAGCCCTCGTCTTCGCGAGGGGTTCGTTGACATTGCCGAGTAATCTCAAGACTCGAGTCAGCGGGACCGAATAAAAACGGGACGATGTTTTCCCGTCGACTCGCTCCCATCAGAGGCGAATCGCGCCGCCGACTAGGATCCTGAGGATGTTCCGATGACGACTCTCCTCAATATGATGATTCTCCGGGCTCGTGATTTAATTCTGCCGAATCCGTTCGGCGTACGGACCGCCGCTCGGCAGGAACCCCTAATTCCCATTGAGTCGGAGAAGAGCATCGCGACTGACTCTCGTCACCATCCAAACTCGAGGGTCAACACCCCTCGACGCAGTCGGAAGCGGGCGGAAGAAGATCTCGCCGCAAAGCAGGAAAATTCCTCTCCATTAGATAAATCTGTTTATCTGTCCGGGTCGGCACGACTCGCAACGATTACGTAGTAGTGATTACGGAGTTTCTTGAAGGAAATTCATCTATCCGAAAGTTCCATCTCAAGCGACAGCTCTATTCGGGTTCCCCGGGGACGGAGTCGGCAGGTTGATCTAGGCAGATGCCTAATTGCGCAACCCACTCTGGCGAGTTTCGCCCAGGAGCTCATTAAGTGCAAGTTCCCGAGGTGTTCTTTGAACCATTCTCCAGATCGCTATTAGATCTCGGCACCGGAGTGCTATTAGCTTGAACGGTCCTCTTTTGTGTTTGCCTATTCACGAGGCCTCAGGCGGAGAACGTCGACCGGATCTCATTCTCGCTATTGTGTTGCATGCCGCTTGATTTCGTCAATGACTGATTGATTACTTCCGGTGGGGGATTTGCAATAAGTATCCGAATGAAGGGGGAACAGAGCCTTGTTTACCAATCGGTACAGTCACCGCAGACGTCGACGGAGGCGGTGAGGAATGAGCTTGAAGAAGAGAACTCGCTGCTTTTGATGCGCTTTTTTCGTCTTGACTCTCCGCATTGCCATTCAACCGTGGCTCAGACGGAAAGCCCTTTCCCTCAGTGAGAGCTCGCTCTTTGTTGAGCTTGTCGGGAGTCGCTGACCTCGAATCGTCTCCTGCCTCCTCAAAGTCTTTTCTCTCGCGATGGATCTGGGGAACGCTCGACTAGCTGTTGCACAAATGCACAAGGGGAATGCAAAATGATTTTTGCCGCCAAAGTCTTTTGTCCTCGACTTCGAGGCCGACTCCAAGCTGAAAAAGACTCGCCTTCACTCACAGGCTCGAAGATGGACGCATCGACAGAAGAGCGGGGAAAGGATCAGTCACCCGACAAACCAGCCCATGAGTTGTATGACGATGATCAGAATGGACGTCTCGGCATCGCCGGAGACATTTCCGTATCATTGCTCCGTTTGGTAAGCTAGTCAGTCACGGACGGTCAGCGTGGCACGCCGTAAATCTCGCCAGGGAAGCCGAACATTCGGTAGAGTAGCTTTTGTTAAGTGAATTTGTTCAGGTTCGTGGTGTCTGTCTGAGATGATTGAACGCGGGAGTCCTGGTCATGGGATGCACGTAGCCGTGCATGATGGACGACATCGTAATCTGAACACGCTGTGCCGAAACCTCCGATTTTATGAACGAGCATCGACCCCATACACCATACACAATCGCATTCTGCTGAGACCTCGTCCAACATCCATCGGTTCGGAGATTGGCGGACCTCGGACCTCCAGCCGCGTGATGAGCCTCAGGAATCTCAGGGGTGAGGTCAGTCATCCTGCAAAAGTCGAGACCCTTGAATGAGGAACCGAAATCAGTTCCCTGTGCCAATGGCTGCTGCCTCCCTACCGAGAAAAGACTCGGGTTATAATTTACAATACCCTTTTCCGGGGCTAGGCGTGTCCGTATTGTACCTCACATCCATCTGAGTCAGTCGAACCGAATCGTCGAATTTGGCAATCGACTTCCCAGATCAAAAATGATAAGGAACGTAAAGAACACAGCCCGTCTTCGAACATGGGGAACGATACGTCGAGTGGTATTTCTCCAGCGCTCGATGGGGCCAAAGACGGAGTTCTTTCGGGAAAGCTTCGCACTCCGACGATGAACTGTGGCTCAGCGAACCGGAGAGCCCTTAGCTCACATTTCGTCGAGGGCTCTTTCCAGCAGATACATGCGAAGCTCCTGTTAGCAGCGGCGGACAGCCCAATATCAATCAACACCGCAGTTCCGCTCGACTTGCAGTACGTGCCGGGTTCCCGCGCCGTGAAAATACTTCTGCATCCAGGTCGGTTTCGGAGGTGTGGGTGCGCGTCGTCAACCTGTTTCACGCAACAGCGCTGCATGAGCGATACTGACGTTTCGCTGCGAATGAACGTGTTTCGTCGCATCGGATTGCGCGACCCATCATACAGGATGCGAGATAGACCTGAGGAGCCTCGCGACATCCCCGCATATTTCGAATGATACTTCTTCAGAGATCGGACCGGTGGCGAAGTAGTTTCCGGTGTTCCCAATAGTCTTCACAAAATCCACTTTCCTTCCTTCGCCATCTGAGCGGCCAGATCAAGGTCGCTAGTGTCACCGAGAATCCGGGGGAATCACCCTCCGTGGGGCTTCATGGTGGGCCTTCAAACTGACTTTTGTACGCTTTGATCGATTCAAATAATATTCTGCCCAGTGAGGTGCGATGGTCCTTTGTCGATGATTGTTCCACATCCGATCCGATTCCTGACGTGCCTCTGCATCATAAGACGCTCGGTTGGAGTAATGAAGTTTCGCACGTTTTTCTTAGGAGCTCGGAGCATTTTCTGATGGTGAAACACATCCGACTGAAACGTTATGTGAACATCCTTCATCATCCATAAATACCGGACTGCACGGAGAGAGAACTTTCGGATCCTGAAAAACCTTGAAAAGGATCCCCGATCCACCCCGATGCCATCATCGTACCCCCAAATGCGTCGAGGGAACGGACAATAAATCATCAATCATCATTAATAGTCATGTTTTATTTTCAAATAGGTTTCCGATCTTCTAAACCAGTCTCTCTCGCTCCAGCAACCGTTTCCTTTCTAGCTGTCCTACAGGCAGATTGCAAGAGATAACAGGTAATGTCTTCGCGATGAAAGCTCAAATTACAGGTGTTTTGAAGGGTTGTCTGTCTATACATACAAGGCTGAACATTATATACAATCCGCGCTCAATCTGCCTCAGCTTCTCTTTCCGGTATGTACACACAGCGCAAGAAATATTCTGAATCGACTTGCCTTGGCAAGGCGACTCTTGAACATCGAAGATAATACATGCCCATAAAACTTCTAGAATTTTTGGAACATTTAACGCTAGCTCCCTCGGCGCGTGATATGAACAATCGGCGACTGTGTCGTCGTCTTCGCTCTTATCTCCGTGTAACCTGAGGGGTCAAGTAAAGCTCATTCCGCCAGCCGTCCTGGCCGTCATCTCCCCGCAAGGATTGTGACTTGTTCCATAGTAAGTTGGGTATGATTTCTTCGGTACAGATCCATGGAATGATGATACTCAAAAATAAAATAACAGGCGTACATTCACCGTGCCTCTGAGGCGGAAGGCAACTCCCCAGGGGGGAGAGAAATTCTTCCACTCGGACGACCAAGTCCGAGAAGACCGCCAGATATCTAACGCTTCTTTCAAGTGAAGGAAACCCTGAGAACCCACAAAATTATGTTTTACAGTTCTATACACCAGAGGGTCACCCACCCTCGGGAACTCCATCTGCTTTCATCGTCTCGTTCTTGTCCCATGGCTCCGAATCGGAAACTCTCTCACAAGGAGAACCGCTTCTCTTCCTTCTCGCGAGGAAACCTTGAGATTTACCTCGCTCTGGGACCCCGTGTTATCCCCACATAGACCTCTGGCGCAGCTATGGGTCGCATCCAAGGGTTCTCGATGCAGCTCCTGCTTCCGATTGGCGCACCGTAATTCCTCGGCACAGAATTTCCACATTCATAGCTGCATGTACATGCGCATGCATGTACGCGACCTTCTTGTGAACGCTCATATAGCGGATTCCTGGCTCAAACTAATATCACGCTCGTGTTTACGTCTGCTCAGACGCTTGACGTATGCTCTTGATCTGAACTGGCATCGCTACTAGAGCGGGCAAAGTCCATCTTTGCGTAGTGGAGTAACCGGTTGCGTTCGTCGTCGTCGTCTTCGGTCATGTTGCTGTTGTCGATATTCAAGCTGAATCCGCTGCCGATGCTGGCGCTGTTGTCAGTCAGATGATTATGCAGATTGTGTGGGAATTCAGCTTGGTGCTGGTGGTTGAGATATTCCGACGACGGGGTCCTGTCCTGTTTGAGTAGATGCGATTTCACGACACCGCCTTCCAGTTGCGCCTCTACGCGGCTTGGCCTATCACCACATACAATGGTCTCCTCCGACGTCACCGAGTCGTCGTTGTAGTATGTCGAGCACGTTGCCACGCCGTCTTCTACGTCAAGATATATCTGTAGAGATATCGGCAGGGCTTAAATGAGCGGATCGTGCAGTGGAGAAGAAAAAAGCTCTCAAAGACGAAGAGCCGCGGGTTCAGCAAAAGCTTCGGACAGTGTCTAATTACGGATCTGAAGGAACGCCGCGCTTATCTTGGCAATTCGGCAGGGACTCTCGTAACATTCACATAGAGCAACCGACCAGCGAGCTGGAACTAGATCAATCGATTCTTCCTCACCGTTGTATCCTGAAGGAGACGGTCGAACTTTTGCGCGAGCAATCTGAACGAAGGTCTCTCGTTTGGATCTGGTCTCCAGCAATCCCGCATGACCGCGTATCTAAAAATGCAAACCCGGTCAGGAAGTTTGGCCATATATTTCGCATTTCCCCTACTTTGCGACTCGACAGCGCCTATCTCAACCCCGAACGTGATAAGGTACTTCAGCTTCCACGCGAGTTCATGGAAGCACCTCGGAATCTTTGTCAAAGCTAGCGACTTCGGTTCTGGACAACGGAGTATTACACGACATAGGAAGAAGTTAGCCTGAACTTACAGCTGATCAGAGCAATTATCTGGCTGGTACATGCGATATCCCTGCTTGAGCAGATGACACAGCCGTTCGCCACTCAAGCCGGGGTACGGCGTCGCGCCCAAACTCACGATCTCCCAGAGCACGACTCCGAAGGACCACCTGAAGTAAACGTCAATTGAAATACAAGCATCGCTTGCTCTGTGATCGAGCGAGAAGTTGCCGTCGATTATTCGTATGCCACATCGAAGAGGGGTCGTTAGAATGCATCGACCGTCAGAGTATTTTGCTCTATCAGGAATCGCTCGAATCGCGATTCGATTGTCCACACTGCGTCGTTGCGGTCGAGTGCGGGGCCTACGGGCCTGAACAATGTCGCCGCTCTCCATCACTATAGAAATTCATAGCATCGTAAACGTCATGCTCTCGAAACTCTCTGATGAAACTCCGCCCTGCTTCTCGTGGCGGTGTATTCTAATCTATGGTCGAACAGGCCGACGAGGGGCAAGAACTTGCATGAAATATCCCTCGGATACATGCACATATATGTTATAATCGAAACTTTTATGTCAGACCCGTTTTACGTGAGGACACGGGTATGGCCGTCCGCCCTGGGAATTCACTCCCCGGACATGGGTATGATATGTCCGATCGGACCTTTATCGATGCCATAATGCTACTGATTGTTTCCCCTGGAAGTTGCTTTCCGAAGTAGCTCTCATAGGAGCCAGGCCGAAGGTCCTCGGATCTGTTGGAGTGTCTCGCCACTGAGGCGTGACCTTTGGATATCTGTCGGTTCCCCTACTCGCGAGATACGCTCGCTGACTTTTGGGAAATTTCCCCCTTTCGAGGCTGAAAAAAATCATAAAATACTCACACATCACTTCTGGTGGTGTATATTTGGTCTTCTAGCGATTCTATGGCCATCCATTTGACAGGAACTCGCTGCCGGCTCCTCTTCAGATACGTATCTCCTTCGTAAACGTCGCGGCTTAGCCCGAAATCGGAGATTTTCACGACGAAATCTGGAAGAGTTGGAGTAAACTCTCAATGCGAGGCTCGCTGACTTCTTTCCGCAGTCACTCATTTATTTGAAAGAGCAGAACCCTGATAGGAATCTGGATCGGGGGGAAGATTCTCTCCTCTTCGTTTGTGAGAAATTCCCGACCGATTCCGAAAATTTATTGATTCGGATGAACTCTTTGACTGAAAGGACTGATGAGATTCGAGGGAAGCGAGGGTGATAACCTATAGGGTCACAGTCGGAACCTCCAATTTAAAGGTCAGAGAACGATTCCGCTGACTGAGTCGATTCCTCCCGGAAGGCCAACGAAGCTCGCGAAGGAACGAGAAAATTGCCTTCGCCTCCGGACGCTGTCAGCGAACATAATGCTCGATGAAACTTCCCTTTCAAAACCTCGAACCGGATGCGTTCTCACGCTTCGAGTCTGTTGCTGCTGCGGCACTCACCTGTGGCCACTAGAATATTCCTCGCTGCGAGATCACGGTGTATGACTTTCATATCTGACAGATAACTCATGCCTCTTGCGATCTGCCACATGAAAGACGTCAGCTGTCGAGCGGAAGGTAGCTGGACTCGCTGATCTTCGCCGAGATAAGTTGGATTCTGAACCGCACGCAGGTCTTCCGTAGAGGAAATGTTGCGACACCGTCGCAAGTACGATCGCAGAGATCCATATTCGCAATACTCCACGATCACATACAGCGGACCCTCTGAAGTGAAAACGGGGTAAGAACGCGTCTCAATTTCGGAAATCCTCGCGATAGCTTCCGATAGGTTCAAGTCCCATTGATTCCGATTCCCGCTGTCCTTATGGCATAGTGAGAGATCTCGCGATCAAAGTCAGCGTCCAGCCCTCGAGGAGGATGGGATCGAAAAATCGCTGACTGAGTCTTTCTGGCGATCATTCTTTTTCCCGGCCAGATTCTCGACGCTCCGAGTCCGTGTCCATGCGATTATTCCCCCGTCTGATCGAGGAAGTAAGTGCTCACCTCTGCTGGTACAGGCACCCAGAAGTCGTATGACGTTTACGTGGTCGACTTCTTTGAGCATCTGCAATTCCTGCAGGAGGTCCTGTTGATCCTGACGGCAAGCATCGTCTTTCAGCATCTTGACGGCGACCGTGGTGTAGCCGTCTCTCCCCGCAATGCTCCAGGCTTGAGCGCGCATGACCTTGCCGAACTCGCCCTCTCCGAGAACGTTTTCAAACAAGAGGTTGTCACGTCGCACCTCCCAGCGGACATCCACTTGATTCATCTGTAGGGTTAGATCTTGATTAACACAAGCCCAGCCAGTTATTCAGCTTGCTGCGTGTTAGGAATGAGTTGTGAAGCATGAGCGTTGCTAAGCGCCGATTCTGCTCTTGGTAACTTAAATCCGCTGCCTCACACGAAACTTCGGCTCTCTATCCCCGCATCATCATCCGTGCACACGGTCATCATCACGGATATTGGTGTGGAGTCGAAATTCTAATTTCGGGCTCCGCGTTCGACAACAGGGGACTCGGCGGGCATTCTTGATAAGCATAGGCGTGAATTGTGGGAGAGACGTCGTGTGTACGATATGAACCAAAGTTCCGCCGACAGGCACGTCCGGATCAGCGCTCGATCCCGGGCGTCTCCAGAGGGCGGGGAGCGGGCGGTCGATTTTCTGAGAGGGAAATAGAAAGCTGACTCCTCTTCGAGCATCGGAGGTACGGGCAGCCAGAGCCCGACTGGGGTGGGAGCGGAAGTCAGACCGATCACCTCTCCCTCGGATCAGGGGAGAAACTATCCGAGTTCACTGAGAGCGAGTTCTTGGATATTCGGTGGGGTGGGTCGAAATAGAATAAATGCACATCGCGTCGAGTGCGACGAAGCTTCTGACAGCCATGTACTCTTTCGCTCCCGCTTGTGGGTTAGCTCCCCTGATTTCCACTCCGTATAAGCCGATAGGGAGTGGGAAAATCTCCGGAGATGCTCTACCGAAGACCTTCCCTCCTCGAATTCCTCGCAATCACAGTCTCTTTCATGGGAGGAAATCGAGAGGAATCCTTGAATTTTAAGCGACAACCTGATAGCTCGTAGAATCCCCACGTGGCTGCTTTCGAATGCTGCCGTGCAGGTCTTTTCTTGAAATCTTTCAAGACGTGCTTGAGTTAGTCAGCGGCTTCATGAGAATCCTTAGAACTGCGCTCAGCCAAGCGGAAAAACTCGATTATCCATGATATTCACGGGAGGAGATTTATTGATACAAACATTTCCTCTGCGCATACTTGATCATTGGGCGATTCGCGGAAAATTAAATAAGATCGTGGACCGCAAGGAATGAGTTTTTTATACACTGGAACTCCCGCTGAGAGCTCGACGAATTCCATGAATTTCCTAATGGAGGATTCGAACCAATCAGGTCCGAGAATCACGGTTATTGAAGATTCCCGAGAGAGCTCGATCGAATATCAACCCTCTGCCCCTCTAGGAGTCGCCCCGTCATCCCTCAGAATATAGCAGAACATCTCAGTCACAGATCACCCTTCGACCTGAATTAGGGATTGAGCTCCCGGGGACGAAGGGCCTAAGGAACCTCCACGGAGGAATCATCACGGGATCAGAGAGCTGTCGCGGCGAATATTTTTTCTCGCATGGTGAACGAGCGCTGCTCTCATGTTGGGGTGTCATCTGTCATCAGAACTTACGGGCAATAGCTTGACGTCGGGTCCTTCCATTGTCAAGGTTGAATCAGGATCCGGTGAAATGTCTTGATTCGTGTCGCGTTTCTCGCTGCCTGGCTTCTTCGGCTTGGGGAACGGAACTGATTTCAACAGAAGTATAATGGCCGCTATCGAGACGGCAATGAGCATGCCGCCTAGTCCGACCACTTTGATGACGTTGATACAGCTCTGAGAAAAAAGTTCTTTGCTTAGTAAAGCTGACATGCCCAAACGAATTAGTCGTTCTCCGAGTGACTGTCCGCTCCGAGCGATGATCCGAAAGGAACTAAGATTCAAACTCACGCGTCTGCCACACAAGCCCCGAGGTCGTTCGTCGTCTTTCGCGTGATGAGATTCTTTCTCCGACAAGTTGTTTCGAGATCTTTCGACGCGTTCGTGGCTCTTCGAGAGCTCACACGTACATTGACTTGGCACCAAACAGAAACAGAAGTCTCCCGCTTCGGGCGGTATCCCGGAGGCCGCATGATCAGATTTGACGGCGACGCCGGTGACATGAGCTGCAAAGTTGCAAGTCGGTGTGAGAGACGCTCGGAGAATAGTTCTCACGCTTCCACTCCTGAAACTTTTCCAATTACCGACGATTTCGTGTAGGCAAACTTGAATTCTCTCACTGAAAGTTACTCACGAGCGCAATCCTGGGGACAGAGGGAGTCGTTCTCCCTTTCAAGCTCATCGCATTGCTGATCGGGACAGTGCAGAGGATCGGGAGTGCACGATTCATAGAATGACTTCTCGGCCCGATGCCAACTGCAATGACCGAAACGAGCTCCGTCCCCGCACATCTCCTCGCACTGATTGTGATACTTGGCCGAAGCGCAGGACAGAAGTTCTGGAACACCGGCCGGGGCATAAATTTTCACTTTTCTTCCCTCAATCTCGAAAATCAGATGACGAAAGTCATCGAAAGACCACTCGGACTTGTCGCGACTAACCTGATGGATCACCACATATAATCGAATTGCTGTCCTCGACCGACACGTGGATGTCGTGGTAGGTCTCGTTGTGGGATTTCAGGTCCGTTATAATGACCCTGAGCTTCACGTCCCGACCGGCGATGTCGAGCAGGGCTTTCGTATCTTTGACGTAGACGATGCCCTCGTTTCTTGTGATTGCGAACGCGTCGTGCCATTGATCGTCGGCAATCGAAAACCTGTATCTTGCGCGTCTCTGTACGACACTCAAGGCAGGGATGACCTGCAATTAGACGTTATGCCTTCAAGCGAGAATTTTTCCTACGGATCCCTAATCCATATTTCGGAAATTCGGATTCATCAGCCTCGCGGGCCCCAAGCGAGTACGTTCCATCGGCCCGATCCGGATCGCATCGGTCGGTCGGTCGAATCGAGCATGATCGGAGGAAAATTCAGCTCAGGCTGAGCCTCGTCGTGTTGGATCGATGCCTAATCTTCCTGATCATCGGCCCCGCTTGGAATCCGTGATCAGGATCTCCGTCTCTCTGGAGCATCTCCGTCCTATCGCTTTCCTATCCTATGTAGGTGAGAAGGAGATCAAGGAATTCATTTACCCTCGTGAAGCGGGCTGTCAATCCTGACGACAGATTGGCTCTGCTCACGTCCAATCGAAGAGGATGATCAATGAGGGTGTCGTTAGTTACCGTGACCTTGTAAGTGACCTGAGGAACGAATTCACCTTGAGCGCCGTGCTCATCTGTCAGGGAGAAAATCCTCTAAGTCAGGATAAATCGTGACTACTCACATTTTGGTAGCTGACATGCTTTCTCGATCCTTCCTCCAGCACGACGTCGAAGCTGTAAGTGGTGTCCGGATAGAAAGTTGCCCCGGGAATGGCCGTCACAGCTGGAAGCATTGATTCGACCTTTGTATAAGTCCAGAACTCGATTCTGCCCGGCGAACCATCAGGGCGACCTACATTAGGGTGGGCTACGGCGGTAATTGACCGCAGCTCTATTCCCGCGTCGCAAGACTCTGGTCCCAGACCACGCTGTCCCTCTCGAATCGTTCAGCGATCTGTCGTCAAGTATCCCAGAGATAGTCAAATACTCTGTTCAGACATGTGTACATCATTTAGTCTGGAATTCGTTTTCTGGACCCAGGGAATAGTTTTTCGGACCGCAATACTTCGTTCCCTGACATTCTCTGAAGTGTCAAGTCGCGGATTAAGGTAGGAAGATGCAGTCTCCTAATACCACCCATCGAGACCATCGTCGTTCCGGCACAGGGAGCCCTGCCTCGAGCGTACTCTAAGTTGTTCAGGTCGGCGTTTACAAACCCCACGACCCCCGAAACAGAGCTGGGTCAAGGTTCACGATTTCTACTGCAAACAATTCGAAGGTCGGCAATGTGCGAAATTGTGTATGCGGTCCTGCGCGAATATTTAACATGAGTTATTATGAGATGGGTGTGGCGCATGACCGCGGAATGCCTACCCGACCTAGCGGCCACCGGTGTCGCAAGCCCTCAGAGTCAACATCTTGTCTACCACATATTGCGGGAGTCGCTCGCAAGGATAGCATACTTCAACATATCATCACTGCTATTCATCTCGAGAGAGTCTTGATGGACTCAAGGTCACCAAGGGGGCGGAAGCATGAGGGATCCTGATGGGGCGCGAAAATCTGATCGTTGTCATGAGGCTGAGATGAATTCGGCGGCTCTATTAAGAGCAGCCGAGTGTATTGCTTGGACTTGAATACGAAGCTCTCGCCCCAATTTTCCACAACGCTCGTGCGTACTCCCATCACACGACAAAGTTTCTCCGGAAGACACAAAATAACATAGGACCTGATCTCCAATAGATCGGAGCGACTAATCGCAAAGGTGAACCAAGAAAATCTGAACACCGGAGGCAAGAAGTAGAAGGAAATGACGTGAAGGGCATCAGAGCTTTCATCAAGCGAGTCTTGGCGTCGACTCCGTCAAACGCGTTTAAAGCTTCTTATCATGGGATGCGGATGTCGCGTCGAGGCATTCAGAGCGAGACTCGGCGAGCCTAAGGAGGCTGAAGGCGTTCATCGTTCTCCTCGCGCGCTTGACTCTCGAAGGGAACAACGTCACCATCCCCATCTTCACGCCTCATCGCGCAGCGTGCCCTGAGCAAAATCCAGGCAGAGGGCCAATGTTGTCGAATTTCTCGACAAAGTCTTGGCTGCCTCCGGGATCCGTAGCTTCAGATGAAGATACGGGGATCCGCGCCTCGCAGATTCCCTCGCTCTTGATTTCGGTGGTATTTGTCGCCCCCTAATGGGATGCTCTCGGTCGGTCGTTTCTGGGAATTACGCCAGTGGCCCGACAACGTTTCAGCGGCTGAAAGTGGCTAATATAATAGAGGAATAGAGAACTTTCGCACATACACGAGCTCTGACGGGAACAACGTGACGAACAGAGAGCGAATTCAGCTTCGCTTATCAGAACCGACGATGATAAGAGACGGGAAAGCGCTCGCTCGAGCGGTACGTGCGTCGGTCTGCCATTACGGGCGCGAACCGCTGCAAGTCTGACTTGTCTTATGCTAATTACATGGAATTGCAACTCCGGACAATTTGCAGCGTCCAGGTAGAGGAGCGCTTTCTGCTCTCCCAGGCAAAAGGTGCTCCAGAGCCAGAGGACCGACTCGCGCTTTGATCCAGTGACTGACTGATTGGCCCCAGCGACTTCGAAACCACGACCGCCAGCGGGAAATGTTCGTTGAAAGAATTGTTGACTCGGCCGAAATTACTTACAGATGATGACCCGCCGGTGTTCGCTGTCTGGGAACATCAGATCGTGTTTCACTCGGAAAAGATTGCGCTCGTCTCCGACTCTGAATACGCGATACAGGGCGTCCTTGTCGACGTTGACCGCTTCGAGGTCACACAAGATCTTCCTGTCCTGTGGAGCGAGGACCGAGATTATCTCAAGGCTCGATACCCTCGGGGAAGTTGGATGTTGATGTAAAGAGACGCCTCTTACCTTTTGCAGCATTCGCGCAGTGGTGAAATCACACGACAGGTTCACGCCTCGAAGTGACGTGCGATAGAGGCGGGCTGCCCTGAGGATTACCGTTTTGTTGAAAGCGAGGCTCGGATTTCCGTCGATTTTGCAGAAAACCGACGTGTTATGGATTCCGGGAGGGATCGCTCTGATCGTTTTCAGCGTGCGAGTGTCGTCGTCTAGCGACAGCATGTCAACTGCGAAAAAATAAGAAAATCTCATTTCTGTGCTTCTTTCGTTTCGCAACGTTCCTGCTAGTCTCGATATTGCATATGTGATGAAACAATCGAGACTCTTCTCCGGGTATCGTTCCGATGAATTATCTTCGCTGACCTGGCTGTAAAGTGTAAGAGGCGCTCCTGTTACAGAACCGCTGCATCGGAGGCGGAACGTATTCGACCGGAGTTCCGGGAGCGGCCTCAGCATCGATGGTGATCGCATCGTCTTCCGAAGTAAAGCACATCGACCGACTGATGTTGCAGGATGTGCTCGACGTCAGCTGGAACACAATGACTGTCCTGGCCAGACCCAGGTCCGGATGCGATGCTTCGATTTCAACCTCGAGTTCGCGAGCTGCGGAAGAAACGAGCCCGTTTTCATCTCTACGGAGGCTTGCACTGATTCGAAAATTCAGCCATTCTCTAAGTGACTGCGGACTGACTGTGGAAACGACGGACCTCTAGATGTTCGCTGGAACGACTCCGATTTGCGAACCGAGACGCATACGGAGCTGATTTTTGAGCTGGGTACTCACCGAGACGTTTGTCGTCGAGACGATGCAGCAGGGAGAGCTCCCCGGTTTCATTGTCGATCCTCACGAGGTTTCTCGGCGACAAAATCGAGAACTGAGGCCGTTCCGCGAGTCCCGACGGGACAGAATTCACGAATACCCGGAAGAAAGGCACTTTTGTCTTGAATGAGCGAGGGAGAAGACCTGCCCGTGTTCTCGCCTGCGGGAAATGCAGGAGCGCGGATCGGTTACCCTCTGAAATAAACATATCCCGTCAGTACCCCTCCGATTGATGTTGAGATTCAGGCAGAAAAACTCCCTGAAGCTCCGATCTCTCCTGAGGAGAGATGTAGATTCGACCCACCGAGGGCACGGCAAGCTTGTGGACCCGGATGGCTTCACCTTTCTCTTCTCCCAATGGAAGGCCATACGGGAAAACGTTTCAAATGAACGAGCTGCGTACTTATTCATAATTCTGAGTGAAGTCTGCCCTGACCTCAAGAAGACACAACAACTGTCTGTCTTAGCTGTTTCCACGGGTGACTCCACAGTGAGTTTGCCCTTACTACGCTCCGAAAAGAGACAAGGGTCCCGCTACCGCGGGAAAACGGGCCATTTTTCGCGGAGGAGGAGCCATTGCTCTATTCGCTCAAAATATTCCAAGAGGCTACAGGGGTGGCTCTCTGAGCGTTTATATCATTCATCACGAAAAGCTGTAGCGTTCCTGCCCATCCACGAGACGATGAGGGACCTTCCTTTCCGAGAGAGTTCCCTGACTCCTCAACTCTCTGACCTCCAGGGTGGGCCTTGCATCGCATATCGCGTCCTTGCCTCTCTCGACAAAATGTAACCGAGTTCTCGCTAAGGCTTTGGGTGACATCGAGGCGAGAGACTCGGTCGAATATCAGAAGAGCCACACCACGTCGATGGTCATTACCTATTCCCTAGTGCCCTGATCTTGGGTCACCGAGGGGGATTCGCATGATTGGAGAATGGATAATCCTGCCGCCGGTTGGACAGTTGTGAGCAGTTCACAAAAAAAGCGTCCCATCTGTGTTCTCCTTCCAGTCGCCAAAGCTCCCGTGGAGCCTCAGAGCGGTTTCCATTGAATTTTCCGCATCTAGGACTCTCGGTAGCTGGCGAGGAAACGTCTGAGACGCTACAGGTCTGAACTGCCTGGCAAACGACTACTTCTTGGAAGCTTCTGCAATAAACTGCTTCTATGTCGCAATGAGCAGCTCGCCTCCTCGTTCCGTTCCCTGACCCGTTACACATGTCGCTCCGCTGCGGAATTCGCAAGAGCACATAGTTTCCCTGGAAAAAGCCGGGTCCGTAGGAGTGACTCTAAGAATGGCTCCAAGTACTTTGTCTTATGCTGGACGCTTGGAATCGAATATTCATGAAACTTAAAGGTTCTTCCGAGTCGATTCTGAATGCTCCTCAGTGGAGCACGTGGGGATTCCATTCCAAGGACGTGAATCTCCTACCGACCTTCCTGTGTGTTCCTAGGCGAGTGAATCGACCGAGCATCACCAGAGGAGAGTTTTCGACTCGAGATAATTCTGGCGTCTGCAATCCCGTTCACTGCCAGATAAGTCCGCGAGAGACGACAGACTCTCTCATTGGCAGAAATATTTGTGCCTCCCACTTTCATCGGTCAAGGCTCGAATCGCGCGTTCGCCTCAGGAAAAATGCTCCGCGGTACCACGCGTCGACTGAATATCCGCCAACCCTAAGCTAACATGGACCGGGAATGATGCCGCACATAACTTCAGGTGAACTGACGTCTGTCGTGTAATGAATGCTCAGTCAGCCAGGGTCGTTTCTCCCCAGTATCGACGACCATCGAATTTCTCGAGTGTGAATAGTTCGCCTGATGAATGGAAGTACATACCTATTAGACTAGGAGCCTTTTGAAGCGACCGGAGCTCCATGATCAGCGTGGAACGGACGAAGTTCAGGAATGAAGATCAGTGACTCGGCGTCAAACTGTGCGGTGACGCCGAATGCTCATGAGCCCGCAATTACTGGGGAGTCAGTGGAGGCGCCCATTTATCACCTCGCTTCATTACCTCTCTCTTCTGGCAGCTTTTAGTGGCTGCTGCTGGTGATTTATCAATAACTCGATAACCACGTCGAGCTTGTCCCGCTGGTATCGTGTTTCCGAGCGCCACCCCACAGGTAGTGCTGAGCGCTACTTTGTCGATCGGGCGGCTCGAGCTCGGAACATTCCAAATCGGAACAAGACAGGTGTTGAGTTTTAAACATTGGCGGCCGCATTGCAGCCGGGCGAGTTCGGATAATGATGAGAAGAAAGTGAACACGAGTAGACTCGGAGCGAAATCACTTTCAGATGCGATCGACGTCCTCCGGCGTGACTCGTCGCGTTGCTAGGCTTCCATGGTCGCGACGGAGCCGCAAAGAGTGTCTGTCGACTAAAGCCGAAGGTTGCTCGAAAGTTTTTCTTGACTCGTTCGAGGTTGCGGTCGCGCCCGTATGATGCTCCCGTTCCACGAGCGTTTTCGCATTATATAGCGCTCGCCGATGCCGAAACCGTCGAATTAGACTCATCTCCCCGTTTTGTTCCATCGGCTCTGGTGTTTTCTTCTCGTTCGTCACACGCATGCGGGACGCAGGATCGAGTGGAACTCCCTAACGCCGGTTGGAAGCGGCCAGGGAGAATCCGAAATTCAGTTTATATTCGTGCTCGACCCTCTTGGCCAGAGTGCGTAAATATTGAATGGATTCTCGTCGATCGGATGTGAGTATCGCGTCAGTCCATGGCCGGTTTACATTCCTCTCGATCGTGGAGGCGGCGCGGCGTTCCCGCTCATGCGGAATCGTCAACATCGGAGAGCCGTTGCATCCAGACACGCGGGTTCTCGCACCCGTGGCGAGCCGCATGTGAATACGCGTTCGGATACCAAACTCGGATTAACCTGAAGGAGCTTGCACGGGGACTGGCTATAGGCTTATCCGAGAATGAGCCTGAAACTCAGGCAAGATTCCGTCAACCGCATTCCCTGGTCGATGGGGCACGGATCGATTCCTCGAAGGAACGCATCGGATCAGAGATTCCATGGCCTTTGCGGGAGAAAGAGTTTTCATGTAGCCTCATGGGAGAGCGTCCCCCTCAAGTTCGAATAGTTTTCCGGGGGTTCCTAGTCGAGAATCTGTCCGAGACGGAATCTGGACCATGTTCCAGTTCTCGCGTCCCGAAACTCCGGCGGATTCCTCGCGTGGATTCTCCCGCAGCTCGTCTTCGACGATCCTGGATCTCGCACAGGATTCGAGGGTGTCCCGGAAGGGTCAATTCCACTCCAAATAATTTAGGTTTTTTCATGGGTGCGCAATTCATCCCTCTCATTAGGAAGCGACTGGCGAATGAGTCGATAGATCATCCGCATGGGCCGACTGCTGTCGACAGCACCCTACATTGCACAGGAGAGCAGGTCGCTCTCTTCTTTATTGCGAATCATAAGCGCGTGAGAGCGTAATAACCGAACGGCCGCGTGATAGCGTTCCGCGGCGAAGATCCAGATATTTCATCACGAGTGCAGGCTTAGTTCGATACCTTTCGTACCCGGCAAAACACGGCGGAGTATCGTCAGGATCGGTACCTACGACTCTTCGGAGAAGTTTGGACCGAGGAGATTAGGCACCGCGACCGCAAGCCAAGATAGAAGCAGACATTCATCTCTTGACCGCAAGCCCCTGGTTTCAACTTGAATGTTGGGCGTAGGAGCGGATGAATAAGAATGTTCTGCGAATTAGGATCCTGAGAAGGTCGTCCAACGGTCTACCCCGCTCGATTCTACGGGTCGGCGCTCCTATGCATCTGATCGATCTCAGACTCTGCGGTGAGCTGTCTCATCCCCTCGTCTCGAAGAAGCCATGGATTCAGTCGTTCCCGTACGATGTTTCTTCTTTCATTACCGTGTCCGAGCCCCGATTCTCGATTTTTCGATGAAACTGTTCGCTCCGAGATGTTTGGGGTCGACGATCTCTGCTCTGTCCCGTCGCCTCCCTGTCAATCTTTCGCCCCTAATAAATACATACTTCCCCCTGAGGTCTTTCATTTCCTTCTAGACGAGTTATTCCGGCTGACTGCGAAGTGTGCAAGCCATTCACATTGGGTTCGAATAAGTATCAATCCCGAGCGAATACGTGAACTGTCACTTCCCACCGGACGCGTTACGCTCTACAGCCGAGCACTTCTTTCCTGTAGAATGACATCACCCAAGCCGGTGTCATTCAGCCTCGGAAGACCGGGTACAGCAACCGGAATCTCTGTAGACTCTCGTGGGTCCGTCACGAGAGACCGAAAATTTTCACTCACTCGATCGTTCGAGCAGATCTTCGACTTCGATTCCTGTGGAGAGTCGACTGGAAATCAAAACAAAGATCGAATCCCTAACTATGGATGCCGCGGAGCATTCGGAGCGGCCGAGAAATCGATCGGTCCGAGACAAAAACAACAACTGCGTCGCGATTCCTGTCGATGACCAAGACGAGTGAACTGTTTACGGAGGAAACGGTTTTCTTGTCATCAAAGCATCTCGTACGCTCGAACTCCCGACTCGAATCGTCCGGGTATTCCATGCTTCTTAATCGGTCTATTTTCGTAATCAAACATCTCGGCTTCTGTGATCGCTCGGATTCCGAGATTCACTCGCCGTTAGCACGTCCTGTCCTTGTTCTCACACGCCGATCTCAAAGTTCGATCGGATGACAGACGAGGGCTCCCATGATGGGGACATCCGACTGATTATTCGGAAGACGGCGTTCGGTCTCTCAGATCGCCTGACACGTTCTCATTTCCGCGCGAGAAGGTTTTACGTCCGGCACACAAACGCTCGAGAGGACTCATCCTGTTCGCGCTCCGGATGTCTCGACCTGGACCCTGGGCATCACCCCACTCGTCGATCTCCGTCGCCCCTCGAAAGAGAGTACGCACGCGTCCGTAATCGATATCACACCTCACATCACAACCGTTACTCGGTGTCGTGCCTTACCCAAGGAATTCGCGACGGATAGAATCGGATTGTCGGATCGGATACAATCCCGAAAGCCCTCTGAAGCCTCCGTAGAAATCTCCAGAACATGTACGATTTTAGGTTTCTATCAGACGGAGCTTCTTTATGAGCCAGAACACGCTATCGAGAGACGAGTCTTACGCGAGCTTACATCGGAACTTATCTGATAAACGAGCCACAAGCGGAAAAAACAGCTTATAGGCACGAGTAGATAAACGCTTGACCTCAGCTGATTTATTATTGGAGCGATCGGGGAGGTTCAGAGATAGCCCTGAAAGTTGAGAGGGACGACCTTGACCATGAGCCTCGAGTCTCGAGCCCTCGGAACAAAGCTCCGATCCGAGTCTCCTCGAATCCTGGAATCCGTGACAGTTTGCGATCCCCCCGGCTAAA